TAAATTCTACTAAAAGAGATGTAAATTTGTTGTGATTAAAGTAATACACTTAGATGAAATTATATAAAGTAGAAATTACACGAGAAACCCAAATTCTACGCTTATACGCATACAACACTGTTTCGAGTTTTAAAAATAAAAATAGAAAAAAATATATAAACGTTTTACATACGAAAATATTAAAAACTGAATATATGCACATAATATTCCATGCAAAATTCGTGTGTTTTTAAAATTGCAAAAATACTAGAACTATTTTCTGTAGTTTTTCATCAGCCACGGAAAATCGTGAAAGAACGATAACGATAACGTTACGCGATGCAAAAGATTGCTTGATACTTGAAAACGAGAAAACATACGCCGCAGGCTCTCGCCATTCAATATCGAAATAGATTTTATATAAAAGAGAAAGACAGAGAAATGGATGTGGGAAGAAGCGATAACACGCGGGAGGATTGCTCTTCAACCTCCGGTAAATCATTCCCCGCCATGTTTAATGTAGCTTTTTCAATTGTTCTCGGGGTCACGTATTCACACCATGATTTCCTTCGGCTGCCGATTTACGACCTGAAAGCGCCGTAATATAATCAATACCCGCCTCAATCCGTGCTATTCGCGAATTTTCGATGTCATAATTTTACGATTAGAATTATTACAATAAAGAAATAAACGCGGGAAAGCAACGCGCAGAGTACGAAATTGATGGAATACGCGCGCGAAATCAATGAGGGAAAATAAATTAACGCACCGCGTATGATTATTTAATTAATTAATATCGGAAGCGGTGGATTTTCCACAAATCGTCGGCCTACATTTCAAAATCTCGCGAAATCTGGATCAGCATCGGGGCGCAAATCGGATAACCGGGATCACAACAAAACCTTTTTCGGGATCAGCACGCGGAAAATAATGTAGGAAAATCGCGATGGCGGGACCAACGAGTGGGATGGAGAGGATTGCGCGAATTCCGCGGTCGCAAAGCGATTTATGGGAAACGAACGCGGGCTATAAAATAACACTTCCCATTCAAATCGGCAAATTAATGGTCGCTTTCGTGGATTCTTTGTTTGGGCCGCGCGCGACAATGGCGGCTTTGCTGAATTATTATCCTGAAATGGTACAAAATTTCGGCGAGCGATGATTTTCGCAAATTTTCACCCACCCACCTCCCCCTTCCTCCTGCCCTCCCATGCTCCTCCGCTCCTCTCCCTTCCCGTTTTTCGATACTTCGAGACAATTTTCTGCGAGCGACGCCGATAATCACCCGGGTGGGATGCGTTTCTTTCTTCGCCTCGGGAAAATTGAAAATTAATCGAATTAATATTATATTTCCGAGGTGTCCGCCTCTCCAGGAATAGCAAAGATTGATCGGCTTGCCTAGGCTTCGAAACTATTATCTAGTTTAGATACTTAAGTCCGCGCGCGGAAAGTTACTCCTCGCGAGCTTTAATCTCTCTAAGCACGAGGTGATTATAAAGTTTCTTATTAAGTTCCCACCGTGTAGCACCACTACGCATACTCGAGCCGCCATTGCAATACACGGGTGAAAAACTTTGCCCGGTACTTGGGCTATATGTAACCCTCCGCGAGGGAAAGAAAATGCAAAAGTGTCCGACCGTATTATCAGAATATGTTTCCTACTCTCGTAAAAAATGTTATACGGCGAAAAAAACGAGGAGAAGGGGGGGCATTACATTTTTACGAACTCCTCCCCCTTCCCCCTTCGCCGCGTTTGAATGCTTTAAACATTGTTCTTCACAATAGCGAATTATAAGTTTCCTTTATTTCGTATTCCACGTTATACGCTTCGTTTTAACCTACTTTAGGCTTTATCATCTTCATTTTTTCTCATTTTACCCTCTCTTTATTTTATTCAAATCATGTTACTTTTTTGCGCAAACTTTTTACGCGTAATTTTATTCTAAAAATCAAACCATGTTTCGAACCGTTCAAAGAGCTCAATCATTTTCTCGATAACAAGACTGAGAAACTCGGGCGCGTCGTGCAAGTTGATATCGACGTACGCATCCTACATGCTTCGCTTTATACTTATCCGATATTAAAGTGATTCGCACGAGCTTGACGTATCTCCTACGGGGATTAATGCACCCGTTTTCCGCTCGCGGGAAATATGACGAGGCGTTTTCGTCGTCAACAAACGTCGATGAAAGGCGGACGAAGAATCGACACGGATTTCTTTGGCTATGCAGAAGAAACGAGAAAAGACGGCGCAACAAAGGAACCCGCCATCTTTCCTCTTTCGAGCCTCTTTTTCATAGATCGCAAGATAATTGGCCGATTTAACGAGCCTTACATTCACGACGCAGGAATTTCGCAAATTATCATTCTTTTTATAAGGAAAGTGCGTATTATTCGTTAAGTGGAAATGGCGACTTTCGTATACTCGATAAGCGCACGCAGTTATCGCAAATTATCGATAAAATCGTCATAAAAACATGGTGAAATCCAATAGTTGAAATTTAATCTAAATTTAAATTTCAAATGTAAATTTAATCTGAATTAATAGTGAAAATTTAAATCAAATGTGAAGAGATCTTGGGGAGAGAAGGAGAGTTCCCATTTTAAATAAAGGTAAAAGATAAAGATAAATTTATTCACGGGAAACTCTCTCTTTGATTGCACATTATAATAATATTACATTTAAAAGAATTAAAAATAATCCAGGGAAAAAGAAAGATAAATAATACGCGTAACAAAAATAAAATTGAAAACGAGCAGAAAAAGAGAAAGCGAAAAGTTTATGAAATAAAAACATTTATATTTATTTATGTTTGTTAGTAAATAAATAGGGGGGTTGATTTTTTTTATTTCAATTAGTATTAATTCTTTTAAGAATGCATTAATTTACCATCTTAAGTTTCATTAAACTGAATAATTCATCATTATAATATTTAAAGTCTACTTTTCATAATAATTTCAATAAATTTATATTTATTTATGTTTGTTAATAAATAAATATTGGGGTTGATTTTTTTAATTTCAATTAATTAATTTAATTAATTGATGATTAATAAATTTAAAATTTTTAATGAAAAAGCATTTTATAGACGAAATAAATTACTAACTTTCGCCAAAAGCTATATTATCTCTGCTTTTAGCAGTAAAGAGCCTGGATATGCTGCTTCATGTGCAAACGTCGCGTACTCGTCGCGTGTTGCTTGGAATCGTGTCTTAAAATCCAGACTCGCAGAGAGGGAAAATCATTAAATATCGTCGGGATTATCGTTGCTAGAAATGTGCACACAATATCGCCGCATTCTACGATAATTGGAGACGAGTTACTTCTTTTTTTCGCCACCAATGCAGTTCGCTAAAGGCGAATGAGATGTAAAATGGGATCGACGGGCATTTGCAACTTGACTCAATATCAAACGCACCGCGTTTGTAGCTATTGTGTTGATTACAAGTTTACAGGCGAAAATAAAAAGAGACCCGCGTCGCGATTTGTACAAGTAAATTGGATATCTGGAAAATACGCTACGCCCAATGCGGGATTATCTGTCCATGGATGGACGATGGCGTTTATCGAATCCATTTCCGCGGAAAATTGTGTACTGATAATAGGACTTTATCCTTCGGATCCTTTTGCGCTCGCTTGATTCCCGTTTGAAATAAAATTAAATCCGCAGCTTGATTACTATTTAGCCGCGTATCAAAGTGTACCGATTCGCTGGTGCTTCAAAGCTAATGAGTGAATCCTAGCGTGGTTTATTTGTTTCTCATATTTTCACTTTGGAGCGAATGATAAACGAGTAAAGCCATGTTTCTTATCAAGATTCGATGGAATGTAATTATAACTTTTCGAATTTGGATTTAGTGTATATTTATAACATTATCGGGCACCAAAATTGTAGAGGAAGAAACTTCGTATATAGGGTGTTTCTTAATAAGTATGAAAAATTTTAGATGATTCTTTGTCGGAAATTAAGGGGAGTTTTTCATATAAATATATACTCCTACATTCCTCCCTGTGGAGTTACATTCTTTCAAAAATGGGGATAAAAATTAGATTTTTATTTTTTTAGGTTTTTAAATTTTTATTTATAATTTTGTTTTTGTTTTTCAATTTTCTCAATATTTACTTTAATTTTATTTTTATTTTAAAATTTAACTTCTAGTAATTCGAAAGCTATGCTATTTAGCATTGTGCACGATATTTTATTTTTTTTCTTGAAAACTACTGATTTTATGAAAAAATTAAAGAAATAAAAAAGTTTCTAATTAAATTAAATTTTTTAATGCATATTTTTAGGTGATCATATTTCGGCCCATTAAAAAGTTCTAATAAAAAATAGAATAGGGGTTGCTAGTTTCATCCCCTTATAACAATATGGGAAGAAAAATTAATAAATATCTTTTTCACTAGAATATATCCACCTAATTTCATTTCTTTAACTCATTCCAAATTTGAGAAAAAAATAAGAACCTAATTTTCATCCCCATTTTTAGAGGAATGTAACTCTAGACAAGGATGTAGAAATATATGTTTATATGAAAAATTCCTCTTTAATTTTTGACAAAGAATCATCTCCTAAAATTTTTCGCACTTATTAAACACCCTGCATATCCCTTTTTATTTATTTAATATACTTTTATTATACTTAGATTGTGACGTTATTTTAACAATTTCTTTGAAGAATTTCCTTTATTTAAAATCCCTAAATTGGGATGAAAGTATCGTATATTAATAAATAACCTTTTTACTCGAAAATATCCACCTAATTTCATTTCTTTAACTTGTTCCAAATTTGAGAAAGAAATAAAAACCTAATTTTTACCCCCATTTTTCTGAGGAGTAACTTCTCAGGGGGAATGTAGAAATATATATTATAAGAAACACCCTGTATATTTCGTATTAAAATATTACTGAGAATATATAGATTGTTGCTCCGAAATACTCGCTTAATTAAGCATTCACACCTTTCAATTATATATATCAACGTCTACTTTCGGCCAAGTGAAGGGTGGAAAGGGATTACCTTGGACCGGCGCATAAATGTTGAGGTACAGGCAGTCCTCGCTTTGGTTCTTGAGGTAGGGCAGCAGCCTCTTGAGATACTCCGCCCTGCCCTTGGGCATCTTGTCGTTGATCTCGGGCAGCTTCTGGGAGCAGACGGGTCCGATATCAACGTTATTTTCAATTTCTTTAATTTTTTTTTTTTTTTTTTTTTTTTTTTTTTTTTTTTTTTTTTTTCAAATTTGAGAAAAAATAAAACCTAATTTTTACCCCATTTTTCTAGAGTAACTTCAGGAATGTAGAAATATATATTATAAGAAACACCCTGTATATTTCGTATTAAAATATTACTGAGAATATATAATTGTTGCTCCGAAATACTCGCTTAATTAAGCATTCACACCTTTCAATTATATATATCAACGTCTACTTTCGGCCAAGTGAAGGGTGGAAAGGGATTACCTTGGACCGGCGCATAAATGTTGAGGTACAGGCAGTCCTCGCTTTGGTTCTTGAGGTAGGGCAGCAGCCTCTTGAGATACTCCGCCCTGCCCTTGGGCATCTTGTCGTTGATCTCGGGCAGCTTCTGGGAGCAGACGGGTCCGAACTTATCGGCGACCTTCACGCCGTGCCAAAGGGCGCCGCTGACGGGGGGCATGAAGCGCAACGAGCCGGTCGGCGGCGAGGCGTAGGGCACCCCGCGAAACACCTCGACGCCCTCGAGGTTCCGATCGAGGGTAACGATCACGCCCGACAGCTCGCCGTACTTAGTCCTGACGATCCTTGAGCTCAGCTCGGCGCCGGCGGTCGCCAGAATCAAGCCGAGCAGAGCCAGGATCGGCGACGTCATCTTGAGACGCGATGATCACCGACGTCTTCGGCGTCACCTCCTTCGCCTCGATCACTTCTTCGCGGCTCTTCCGCCGCCTCTCATACCGCCTTCCCTCCGTCCTCGCGATTGTTCCCTTTCTTAACCGCCACCGGAAGTGCGGACGTACGCGAGCTGGTCCATCGCGCGACGCTCGGCTGCCGATCCACCTCCTGGATGCATCAATCTTCCTTGAGACAAAGAGATGACTGTCAGATCTTGCCGGATATTCGAGGTGATCTTGATAAAAGGCGGAGGTTAATACAAGTTGCTCTTATTTTACGACAGCTTCTTACAATCCTTTGTTTTTGAAATAAACGTCGTCGTCCTGATTGTTTAGTTTTCAAGGATTTTAAGACGGAGGTAGACTATTGTCGTTAATTAAATCTCCTTGATAAATAATTTACATGCGACGAGGTACGATAAATTTTCCATGATCCTTCCAATGTATCTGTTTCATTTAAATCACCCAGAAGAAAGTAGACTGCAATTACGTCCTCAATCATCTACCTCGACGCAATTGATCTAAGGAAGACTGTAAATGATGTAGACCGAGAAACATTCTGAGTTATGAATTTCATCTAAAAGAGTTACAGAAATTATAATCGCTCTGAATTTTAGATCCTTTTAGTCATACACCTAGTTGGATGTCCTAGAATCGTAGAAGATATTTTGCTGAAGCTCAATTATATCCTCATTAGAAACGTTATTATTGTCTCTTAAACCTAATTATCAGCTTCGTTATCGACTTGCGGGGGGTTAATGATCTGCAAATCTTGCTTCGTCGCTTCGCTGAACGATGGAGACTTCCTACACCATAAAAGAGATCGTTGTAAGTTTATCATTGAACGTTTAGACAATCGAAACTATTTATTACACATTCCGTCACTGAGGTAAGATTGCACTCTTTTCCGATAGATTAACATTTCAATCGTTGAAGCAGGATCCGCTCGCTGAAACTTCCATGAGAAAGTAATATCGTCTTGACGAATTTCTATTTCCGCCCGTCGTCTGCTCAAGTTGAAGGCAAGTTCACGCCTGTTCCTTTTTATCGCTCTCTCTTTCTCCTTCTCTCTCACACAAAGACAATCTTGTTTCCGATAGCGTGCTTAATGTATCGAAAAAGATTGAACGGGCACCGGCTCTAATCGTGCTCAGAAGAAAGCTATATTTCCAGTGTTTACAACATTGTTTTGTCCTGGCAAGCAACAGAGGAAAGATACCAGATTATTTCTCACTCGAGATTTTATTGGACGGATCGAAGCTAACGAGAGAGCCGCGTCTAATCGAACTAGTCTCTCTCGATCGAATGGAACATTCGCCGAGGTGCAATTCTTCAGCAAACAATCCCTTTGCGAAGCTAATTCGCCGAGGGGAAACAATGTTTGCGGCTAAAGAAACCGCTGCTTTTCCGGTTTCCCGGTGAAAATACGCGTGAAACCGTTATTTACGCTAAAATTCCCTACGTGGTCGGTAAAAGTGCTACTGAAAATTCTTCAGCTGCTTTATCCGTTTGATGCTTGAAGGGCGCAAACGGTCGTTGTTGAAATAAAAGGGGCAATAGCTTCGAGAAATGCGTCGTGCTCGAGTCTTCCGAGGTGTCCCTTCGGCGGAGAATGCAACCCAGCGACGCTATTTCTGCAAAGTCAACAGCTCCGACATTCGATTACCCTAGTTGAATCAAAATCGCGCCGCTGATCAACGGCAAACTTCCCAGATGGACACTCGTAGACAAAAGTTGGGATCATCCGTGTCGTTCACTCCATCGGATTCGCACTTTTCCCGATCGATCACTGAGACGGACGATCCTTCGATCGTCGACACAACACTTGGAGAGTCACGCGCGCGATCATCATCCCTTCATCGGACTGAGCACTATTGTCGAGGATTCCCTTCGCACACAGCTTCGCGCGAGGCTCATTCTCCTCTCCCGCCAATCCGTCCGGTATATTTCTTCAAACTTTGTCGAGCCGGAGGGGGAAGGGTAAATCGTTTTCCCGATAATGCCGATTTGTCGGACGCGCCGAAAGTAATTTCAAGTTTCAAGTCGAACTGCGCGAAACCGGGACTTTTCCCTCGCTCGCTGGCAAGAGACGCACCGCCACCCCTTCTCGTGAAGCGACGCACCGAAAAATCCGTCGGGAAAGGTGGCGAGCGAGGTGATCGAGCCCGAAGAGAGCGAAGCGATGCCACCCCCCTCCCCGTCCCCGCGTTTCTTCCCACGGCGAGCTAACCCTCTTCCCTTCCCCCCATCCCCCTCGGTCGGCCGGTTCGCAAACTACCACCCTTCCTTCTTGGCACGGTTACACCGTTACGTTCGTCGACGACAACCTGGTCGATGCCACCGAATGCGACGGATCTCGCGTGACGGGATCGCGAGAGGGGCGGGCGCGCAGGTAGGTATTACACCGCGAAGGAGAGGGTGAGAGCACCGCTGGGACGCCCGCGGTTTGTATCGCGAGGAAAAGCAAGCGACCCGATGTAGCCGACACTTCGACCCCCGACAGACTGGCGTCAGGCGACGACGTTCGCCACCGGCTGCGCATGCGTCGCTCCCTCGAGCACGGGACATGGGCGGAAGTGCACCCCGGCGTGGTCGATAGGGCAGGAGGGATCGATCCTCCCTCACCGACCGGCACCGAGAGTTGTTGGTTCGAGTCCGGGATTGCGAGACGCCGCGGCCTGATGCCGCGATCCCTCTTGTGTTTTCAACTACTCCTCTTCTTTCCGCAGGCTATCCATCACTATTGGATTCTCCTCCCGCCCCCGTATTTAAAAGCGGTCCGTGTATTTTAGCAATCAACGGGATGGCCACTCCATTGCTACGTATCTTTTCTTCCGCTCCCTTCTCGTTATTATCTCAATTACATTATGTTATGGTCCGTCAATGTTGGTCCAAGCTTCCAATTGTATCGGTCGCAATTCTACAATCGTCGATTCGAGCTGATTCATTCGAGTCTGCGGTCACATCTCGTCTTTCCATCATTATTGCTAACTCGTTTGTCGGACCGATAATATCAAACAGACGACAGATTGTCCCCTATTTATTTTCAACATAATGTTACGCGTTATTTATTTTAAGGATGTTTTGTATGTACAATTCCAGCAAAAAGTAGCTGAAAATCAATATTGACGAATATATTTACTTTTGGTGTATTTTGAGTAAGTAATTGTGTGGAATATTACAATTTGATCGTAGCTACAGCGCAGAGATGTATTTTGTAATGTTTATTGCGTTTTTAATGAAATATTTCAAATTTTGTTAATCGAAATGATTAACTTTTGACAGAGAATTTCGCCTTGTGACAGATACATGGCTAACTTCATTGAATTATATTTAATATCTTTTTAACCAGTATTAGTACTTGTATAATATTATTTCACCAAATATTTCCTCTGTATCTAAACTTTTGCAAATTTTAAACAAATTCTGAATATTATTTCCATGTGTTTTTGACATTTGAATCCACATGGTTATACGTTTCCCATAAGAACACATGTTAATTACAAATTAAAATACTTATAACTTGTGAAATAAATAACGCTTTAGTGAATCGATTTAAAAATTGTACTGAAGATTCTAAACATATGTAAGGACATTCTGTACAATTTTCATTAAATTCTGAATATTTTAAAAATAGGTACAAAACATCCTTAATCGAAATGATTAACTTTTGAGACATGTTAATTCGGTGCAAATTAAAATCCTTATAATTTGTGAACGCTTTAGTGAATCGATTTAAAAATTGTACTGAAAATTCTAAACATATGTAAGGACATTCTACACAATTTTCATTAAATTCTCAAATTTTGAAAATAGGTACAAAACATCCTTAAAAATATTTATTTTTTAAATATATTTATTTATTTTCTGAACGTAATGTTGCGCGACACATATATTTTCGGCAGACTTAATATGTTCTTAATTATGTCTCAATTATATCCTCATCAACATGTCATTTTGACAAAATTCCGAGGCAAATTTATCATATAATTTATTTATCACATAATTTATTATTAATTATTTGTTTGTATTAATTAACGCGTTGTCGTTACTTTTAATACTTGCGACAAATTTTATCGTATATTAAACTAATTTGGAGGAAAATGCATCCCGCAAAATGCACGCTGTGTGATTATCGGCGCAACTTCTATAATAATAATTTTAAATAATTGCGCGTAGAAATCATTTTGTTAATGTTGAAGCGACCCCAATTGAACGTATTAATTAACTGTAAAAAATGTACGGGCCAGTAAGTTTGTCAATTTTGTAAATTCACCCCGCAAATTAGTGATTACTAAATCAACGCGGGACGGGACGCGAACGCGAACGCTGTCGATAAATAACGATACGATAAATTAGCGGGATTTATTTGACAATTCGTTCGCGTGCGCGAATAAATCGCGTTTTCCGATTCGCGGCGAGAGGAATCTCCGCTCTCGATGGACAACGGAAAATCGCCAAAACTCGGGGAGCGAAATGGGGCAACTTTTTAACGAGAATTTCCGGAAACCGGGAGCGCAGCTGCGCAAAGAGAGTTTCTCCTCTCGCGAGATTCCGCATTCAACATCTCTTTCGCACTTTACACCGCGTAGTTACGCCCTTTAACAAATTCTTTCCCGGCGCTTTTCAAAGCGAAAGCGTGAATTATCCCGCGGCATTACTCGTCTCTCGCTTTCGGAGAGAATCGCGCGATCGAATGAACCCCTTAATGCAGTGTCATCCCCCTGGTACAGCACGTTAGCTCTCCAGGTACCGCCAACTTGGGAATACAGAGTGCCTTATTTAATTTTATGTATTATGTATAATTCATGTGCGCCACGTTCTCATAGCGTGGCACATTAGGGGCTATAATTTCCTATTTCGCGGCTCCGAGAAAGGACTAATTTTCCGACATTTCTTTTCTTCCCGGAGAAAAATCAGGAGCGCGCGACTTTATCGCTCGGGTAGGTACGAGGAATAATTGGACGGCGAAGTGGCTGAGGACGAGGGAAGCGGTTAAATATTTGCAAAGTCAACGCGAGGGGCGTCGTACGGCTCCTCGAGGGGGTGGAAATTGGTCGCCTCCGGCCACAAAGCCGTCGAGCGGAAATCCGCTTCTCGTTTGCGACACGAGGACGCAGGATCTTCTCTAGGACTCGTTCATGCAAAAACTCAAGGGCACCGTTGAAATGACAAGCGCGCGTCCCACAATCCAAGATTCCGAGGATGCACAGGCTCCGAGAATCTGAGAAATATTTATTGCTGCGAAGCAAACTGTTTGAAAAATTGAGAATTTTTTATGTTTTTTTTAGTTTATGTCAAGGAATCGAAAAACTATCAATAATAGATTCGAGAAATTTGAAAGAATAATGACATTGAAAAAGTAATTGATTCTAAAATCTGTAAATCGATTTTTAAAAAATGATATTTTATTTATTAACTATTAATTAATTAATTAATTATTTATTTATAATAAAATTTATTAAAAAGTATTGATTTATAATAATTTATAATAAATTATTTATGTATAATATTATATTAATGATGTATTTCAAGAAAAATAATTAATTCGAATATTTATATTATATTTAATAATTATATTTATATTAATTAATATTATATTATTATATTATTATAAAAAAATTAATTTGAATATTTATATTATATTTAATAATTATATTTATATTAATTAATATTATATTTATATTATTATATTTAAAGATAGAATTTTGCATTAGACATTTCTTTAATAATCTTTCTAAACTTTTTGGCAACCTTCAATAATAAACTTGCTCAAGCTTGATTTATTTAGCAGGAGAAGAAAGATGTCCTCGTGACAGAGATGTTATTTTTTTATCGGTACCAAGAAAGGTATTAATCATGAAACGCTGGTGTCCTGGAGTGACAGTGAAATCGCTCGATCGGTGGTGAATGTAACCGAGATTTTTCTGCGGTAGAATAAAAAGCAAAACGTGCAGAGGGGAGAAAATGACATCTCTTAGCGTGACACAGTGCGACAATCCCTTGAAAAGGACTCGAGACAAGGGTCGGAAAGCCGACAGGGTGTGACGCGAGAGATTCGTGCCCAGACTACTATTATTAAGCATCCAAATCCAAGAAATCGATATCTTTTCGTGGGATAGAACGGCGAATTCTGGAAATGTCTTATATTGATATGGAAAAATCCTTAACTTACTGACCTAATTTTATTCAGGATTCTCGATATATTTTGATCATGTATTAATAACACAAAAAATAATATATTTATAATATATGTAATGTAAATATATAATTTATAACGATCCATATGTAAAGTATTAATTATTTTTAATAATTTAACTTGTATTGGAAACTTTAAATTTTAATCAACGCATATGTGTATAAAAACAATTTTTATTTAAAATATTCTTTATAATATTTAATGTAATATTTAATAATTTATAATATTTAATATATGTATGCGTATATTTATTTAATAAATTTTAAATATTGCTATCAATTTTTCCGTCGAAATTAATATTTTACTCTTATGGAAATAATAACTATTCCAATTTAAAAGTTTACATAAAACATACGCTGAAATTACATACATATTTTACGTGTGTGTAGAGATATCATTTTTCGAAAAATATTGTTAGTATCGACATATCAGATGTATTCGTTTAATTTGAATCATCTCTATTACATCGCATCATAAGATATATATAAAAAATTTCTGGCTTGATTTTAATTGTGAAATTAAAGACGACAATTAAAATGGTTAAGATTCATCAACATGACGATTTTAAATATGTTTTTGCAAATATTCATGTAATATTTGTAAAATATTTTGTTTATATTTAGAGAATTTTATTTGTTGTAAGTGTCAAGATTCAAAAAAATCGACGCGACATTACATTATTTTTCCGAAATACGATAGTCGAGATGTATTTATATATCTTCGGAGCGCAAATGTCAGATATTTTGCTGTTATTATTGCTGTATTATACCATGTTTTCTTTCAAATATTCCGTTTCTCATTACATTACATTTAAATTTAATGCTGTGATTTTCATGTTAATTATGAATATTATTTATTATTATTATTCAATATTATTTATTATTCGACTCTAATGGCTTAGAAAAATATGGTAAAATATTTTCTGTCGAACACTAGATTTTGCTTCTTGTAAATAAAGATATATTAATACAATGAAGCAATGAATATAGAAAAGATTGATTTCAATTTTAAATATTTCATTGGAACGTTATCTTTCTTACAAATGTTTGATTCTATTAAGGCTTCCGACCAGATTGAATCTATCGAAGAAAATTATGTTATAAATATCTTTATGACTTCGAGAGAGAATTATATATTAAAATAATTTTAAGTATTATATTTTAAATTATCGATAATTAATAATAAATTACTATTTATCAATATTTTTTTAAATAGCTGTGAAAATTTAATAATTAATTGCTTATATAAAATTCGTAAAAATTATATTTTGAATCTTCTGAAGAATCTGAACATC